TTCAATTTTACATTTCTGTAGGAAATGTGATGTAATATAGGACCTGTGACATAATACAACTGACTTCACTAGAGAGAAATACTTACCAGCTTGAAGTGATACAGGTGAAATAATATCACGTCTTCTAGCATGATGTCTGTTTACATGAGCTTAGTGATTTCACTCACAGGGCCAGCTGCAGTGCTTTCATCTTGACACCCCCTACCTTTTCAGTGTTTCTGGCATGTTATCCCACAAATTATTCATACCACGTCTCCCTATCTGGTGCAGACAGAGAGCATTCAAATAAACCCTACCATTAGCAGCATTGTCCCTACACAATGTCTAATAAGAGCCCTTAATCTCTTGTGGGTTGTTTTTCTGTCTAGTTGAAGATCATCCTGATTTTCAAGCTTAAAGAAGCTTGACCCTTCAGGTTAAAGTAGGACAACTAAAGGCAAAAAAAAAAAAAAAAAAAAAGGACAGCACAGGTGAAAGTGTGGAAGACAAGATTCAGCAAGCGACCACTACAGAAATTTCCTGAATGTGTAATTGGTGGCTGCATTTGCTGAGTAGTAAAGATAGAAGAAAAAATATTGAGACAGTACATTAAATACTAAAATATTATAGTTTATGACTTAAACATCCTCATGAAGGACTTTTGCCTATTATAGCAAAACTGTGTTACAAAAGACCCCCCCACCCTAAAAGGGGCCCTGACTGAGGCCCTACACCGCTCACTGATGAAGATAAATAAAGTAACAGCTCCGGGCTGGGGGAGAAGAGTAAATTCACAGCGCACAAGCTCAGCACCTTGGGAGGGCAGACCGCAGCCCCAGGGCTTTTAGCTGCCAGGCCCGCGCCGGCCTCACACCGAGGGAGAGAGGCCTCGGGCTGTGGGGAAAAGGCCTCTGGAGAGAGGCAGTGCCCCATCCTGGCTGTGCAGAGGGCTCAGCTGAGGGGCCCCTTCGCCCCGGAGGAGTCGCAGCCGCACCAAGGACACGGGGGAGCCACGGCCTGCCGCAGGATCCCCCGAGGGGTCCCGGCCCCGCTCCGGGGCACGGCAGCGCGGTGCGACAGACCCGCCGTGCTGCAAGGGACGGGGCCAGGCTGGGTCCCTGCAAGGGAGGCACCTGGGCGTCCCCACCTGCCCACAGGGACAGTCATCCACGGCATTCCATACCTCCCAGCGGGGCGTATGTGGTGGCACAGCAGACACAGGGGAGCCGGATGGAGGGGAGCAACGAGACGTCATTGGGACCCTCTGAAGAGTTTCTACCTAACCCCTGTCACCCTTTCCCTATCCCACCAGCCCCTCATCCTCCCTTCTTTCTCTGTTTCTGTCTTCTTTTTCTTTCTCTTTGCCTCTTTTACTATTACGTAAAACTTGTAATTTTTTTGCAGCAACATCTAACCTCGCTTGATTTTAGCCACATTTTTCAAGTATATTTCAAGCTTTTCTGGGTCTGATCCATTTCATTCACAGAGGCTTAGCTTTCTTTGGTCTTCTGTCTTAAACCTTCTGTGTTAAGCCAGTTCATAACACAGGAAGAACTCTTGCCCAGAGCCTACAAAAACTGCAGTACCATCTACACTTCATCATGACCTCCCAGTTTGTCCTGTTTCATGCACCTTGAATCAGTTACGGAGCCCTTCCACGAGGGAGCCTACATCATGTGCTACAGGATCTGCAAGCTAGCAGTAGCTTTACGTCAGTGAAAATCAGGAATCTATTGCCATAGCACAATTTAACCTTCATTTCTTTTGATGTCTGCTTCCCCTCATGCTTGAAAATAATGTGTAATAGACAAAATACAAACTGTCCTGATAAGGAAATGGAAGTCAAAAAAATCTGAGACTAGGACACCTCCTTTTCTGGTAGTTAAGTGTATATGACCAAGCAAAACAGGGAGAAAGAAATACATGTCTTGTAGAGTGTTAGACTGTATGGACATCACTGTAGTTAAGTGCCCACTGAAATCTTCATGGACTTTAACAAATTAATTCTCTTCCTTTTAATGAAGGATAAGTTTTGGTTACCTAATGCAAACAAGCATTTTACTGACAGTATCAAAAGATCACATAAAGCAAAAGAAAGTTCCATATAAATGGCTACATCTGCACCAACTGGCAAAAAAATACAAGGTGGTGAAAGGGTAGCAAAGTGAATTACTGTAATACAACATCCAAAACACAGTCATTTATAACAAAGGCTGTGTCAGTGCAAGACAATATTATCTGAGACCTATAGATTTAAATCATTACAAATGAGCAGAAGCGACTGTCAGAGCCTTACTGTGAGAGCTACACTGCAGACTTGTCAAATTCTTAGGTGAAACTGTCAAGTTAGGCTGTAAAATTTCAAACATATAGTGGTGTCTATGTGATTTATAAACTTGAAATAATTTACTCAAAATATTGATTTGTCTGACAAGTCTATAGAGAAAATCTATGCTACTTCTAAAATCACATAACATTGTTTCAACTGACTCTGAGCAACAAGAAGGCGTGCGTGGACTATACTGCAGATCTTTACGTGATATCAGACTGAAACTACAGTGATCAGTCTTGTTTCCCATGTCTCAGTCACTTTATTTACAATGATGAAAAATCTCTGATTATTTCTGTGTGCCTTGTTGCAGCCTCATCCTCTGCCTAGTGTTTCTTATGCTTTTTTACCACTAGGCACCACTGACATTGCACAGTGGAACTGTGTGTGAGCTCTCAGAGAGGCTGAATTTGGGCAGTTTCAACACAAGAATATAAGCAGGATTTCAATATCTGTTTTATGTCTGAGCTGTAGTTAAATTCAGGTTTTTCAAAAAAAATTCCATAACTTGCTTGCCATGAAAAAGTATGCCTTAGGATTCCTAGTAGACAAAATGTGAGCAATATATTTGATAGTCTGGGAAAGTGCAAAATGCACCTCTGAGACATACAGGAGATCAAACAGGCATGCTGTTGGTACTGCCTCTCAAGCCCAGAGTTCTGCATTATTTATATGAAGAGGAGCAGCTCTAAGATGGGAAACTGTAAGAGTCTGACACCATCATCAGCAATTTGGGCACATGTCTAGGGTTCAGGATCAGCCATCAGTCAGAGCAGTCTGTCCTGGAATGGTAATTTACCAGCTTCATGTTACATTTCATGGCTCACCTACACTAACAGTAGCAATGCTCAGGTTTTACTGATTGATTAATAAAAAAATTAATTTAGCTGTTCATCTGAACTAATTCTGGGTTCTATAAGGGTACTTAATGATACATTGCAATCTCCTTCTCTCTTCTTTTCTCACTGTCTATTAACCACATCCAGCAGACAATAAATAACCTATTACTCTTTGTCAGGAGATAAGGTGGACTTCATGCCTCTTCTTTAGTCTTCTTCTCTTCCTTATGGAGGAACCAGCTTTTATTTCTTATGATCTCACCAGGGTGTATCTATTTAAACTTAGAAGTTTTTAAAATGAGCTAACATCTTTTAGTGAAAGCTCCCTAACTGCAAGTTTAAAAAAGGAATTCATCCAGAGCTCTCTCAGAAACAATGTTTTGAGCAGCAGCATTTGGCACAAAATGATGCAGTGAGTTAAAGAAATTTTCTGGAGAACAGAAAGGTTGTCATAAGCATAGGCAACTGAATTTCAAAAACAAAAGAAAGAAATTACTGGAAGGATTGAAATAGAGAAAATGGCACAAGAGGCAGTTTGTGAATTTGAGATCTAATTAAACTTTCTATCGTAAATTGAACCTTGTAAGTTGCAAAAAATAAGAGGAAAACTAGATGAGTGCATGAATCAATTAGAAAGTTGTAATGAGCAATTAGAAAGTTGTACTTCTCTGAAAAAGATGACAGTAATTCTAGATTCCAGTTGTCCCATCCAAACAAAATAAGGCAGCATACAAGGGACTAATACTCAGCTGGAATGTGGCATACAGTTCTCATTGCTTGTGTTTAATCAGACCACAGAAAAGGGTCATGATACCAATCTCTCCATCCCTAGAATGAATATGAGAAGACTCCAAAGTCCTTAAATGCTATAATATCAAAAAAAGAAGGATAGGGAAAGAGATTTCTGCCCTACATAGCTTGAAGACATGAGAAGAGTAACTTGTCTCTTGAATACATTCAGATTTTACATTAAAAGAAAACTTACAGTACTTGGCACAGAAAAGTCTGAAGCAAGTTTTCACTAGAAATATCTGGAGTAAGAAACACCTGGAGTAAGAAATTAACTTCAAGGTGGAACTTGCCAAACTACCAAAAGGTTGTGCAGTCATGTTGCCAATAAAAGCTGAGAGCAGAAAGTGTGTCACTATCTGCTCTCCCTTTGTCAGAGTAAGTAGCACCTTACTTGCTTGTGTTTTTCTGTTCACCCAGGAGTACCAGTGGAGGGAGGAATAATCTGTCCAAGAAGTGGAAGTGCTAAGTTCTGTAGCAAATTATATATGCTATGTTTCAGCTTGCAGCTGGTCAGATTCCTGCAGTATTGAGTGTATTAACAGCTTAGCTGGAATCCTGTCATGTAGTCTACCAGGTGCTTTTACAGACCAACACTCCAAAAGAGGTGAAAAAGAAATCTGTTTATCTGTCGGTCACTCAGAAGCACAAATGTGAGACAAGATGTGCTATTCAACATGTTCTTTTCAGATCTATCCTTTCTCTTGGAGGGGATGGTGCTGAATTCTTGCAAGTCATATGGAAGTTATGCTACAGTGATCCACACTTGTGGGATCTTACTTGAGTAATGGTTTCTCCGGAGCCAAGTTATGACATCAGTGGCACCTGCCAAAATTTATAGCACAGATCAAACGTGGCATTCAGAGTTTGTGCCCTGTAACTGTCTGGTCATTCCTCGTGGTGTGTTGCAGGCTTCACAAAATGAGACTGTGGGTTTGGGGTTTTTTTCCCCCTGCCATTAAGCTAATTCATGATAGCAGATGTCATCACTCCCAAATAAAAATGAGTGACGGATGAATAGATTTAATCAGTTATTCCTGGCAGTTGGAGTTCTCTTGAAAAGGGGAGACCAGGGGTAAAACTGACATGATTCAGTAATCACTCAAGAAAACCATACTTTGGCAGAAGAGGAAGCTACTATACAATCAAAGTAAGCATTTATATTCTTGTGTTTTGGCCAAAATAAGATTTTCCCTTCCTGTCTTGATTATTAAAACTGCCTAGATATACATGGGTATACATTAATTTTATGCTTTGTTAAATCATGCAAATTTGAACAATGTTTTCTTCTTGTTCCCTCCATGACCTGGAATTTTGTATATTTCAGCCTACCTTTATGAAAATTATTCTGATCCTATGTGATTTATAAAACATAAGAGGTATCCTACTACTGTTTCGTTTCACTCTAGTCATAACTTCAGTTATTAAGCTATTATTTGTTACTATCTTTTTTGGTATTACTAGAACTTCTGTATTACTCACACTTCAACTGAAAGGAAAACCACCATAAAAGGAACATGTAACAGGATACTCATCAAAATTATGCATTCTTTATGTGTAATTTAAAACTTTTCAGAGCTCTGAGGTTTGTTTGGGTTTTTTTTTAATTTTTAAAGGAGCACTATAAATGGGCTTTGAACTGTACTGTAGTAGATATATAACGCTGGAAAACTTTCCATGCTTAGGCAAACAAACCCTGGTGAAGGGCAAAAGGAATGGGATATTAATTAGTGTACTGATAAAGATAAACCAGCGCATGGTCATGATATGACCCAAGGGACTGAGTCTAGTTAAAGTCAAAGATAATCTTTCCTTTGTTTACAATGGTCACCAAAAAACCTCTGAAGTTACTGTGGAAATTCTTCCAGGAATATGCTTGTGTTCCATATTAAAATTGGCAGAATCATCAAATTCATGAAAAGAGTTAAAATTAGACTTATCTCCAACTTTTAGAAAGGAAATATAGTGCTCAACAGGAGACACTTTCCATGCGGGTAATATCAGAATTATCTGAAGAGCTCTTGAAGAACAGAGGAGATTTTGCTATTACTGTATCCACTACTCTTTTTTTCCCGTGTCTACTTACAAAGTGAACTGATTAAAACAGAGCCACACTTCTTTGGCAGAATTGTGAAACATTTCAAGTACATTGTCATCCAGATGAGACACCAGATAGATTTAAACTATCAAATTCAAGACTTTTCAAGACTGTTTCTTTCTCGCATACATTTACATACATATATATATATATATATGTGTGTGTGTGTGCATATGTGTGTATATATATACATATATACATATATATATATAAAGATATACATATAAATATATATATATATATATATACACATATAGAAAATATAATTCTTGTTAAAGACTGTCTTTCAGCAAAAATTTTGGAAATAAACTTTGGAAATATTCAAATATTGGTTTACATTACTAGCTAAACTATTTTCCAGTAAGGAAAAAGCATAAAGTTTTATTTTCTTTTTGTTAGCCAAACCAATTATTCTTTAAATTATGCATAATGCAGACTAAAAAATCACATTGATATTTCTCTTCAAATATGTTTAACTAACAGTTTTACTGAATATATTGAAATACTTCTCACTAAAAACAAAAGCACAAATATTTTGCCTACAAGTCTGTCTGTATAAAACACTGAAATTTTAAGACTATGCCTATCTTAACACACATGTTAAACAGAAAGATTGAAAAAAGGTAAAAAATGGCTCCTGAGACTTTAGAAATTTTTTTCTCCTCCAACTTTTTATTTCACATAAAGATAACTCAAAATAACAATTTTGTTCAAAACAGCAAGAGCCATTTCTGGTTCTTAAAATTTCTCAAGAAAGAGTCCAAACCAGAAATTACAAAGTGTGCAGTGGAGAAATTGCTAGTATTGGATATTTTTTAAATCTCCTTTTTGTACCTCAGCAGAGGTAGACTAAGATTACGTTAGTTCAATGTATTCTGACGAGGCAGGGGCTAAACTCAGAGCATTTGGGAACCTGCTAATTTAATGCCTTACCAAAGCACACTCAAATGCAGATCAGATTAAATAAGAGAACATTGTACCACTCGCTTTTCCTATTCTAATTTTGTGCATATGACTTACAGCTAGAAGAAAAATTTCCTCCCCCCTTGTATGGGCTAAATCTGTAGAGGGAAAGCTGCTCATCATTCGCAACTCAAACTTCCTTTAAACTGTCTCTGGGACATGACCTCACAAGGAGAAGCAGAGGGGCAGATATTGACCTCGTCACTCTTGTGACCAGTGAGAGGACTCAAGGAAATAGCTGGATCAGGGGAGGTTTAGGCTGGATTATCAGGAAAAAGTTCTTCGTCCAGAGGGTGGTTGGACACTGGAACAGCATCCCCAGAGAGGCGGTCACAGCCTGACAGAGTTCAAGAACAATTTGAACAATGCTCTCAGGCACATGGTGTGACTCGGGGATGGTGCTGCCCTGGGCCAGGAGCTGGACTCAGTGATCTTTTTGGGTCCCTTTCAATTCAGCATATTCTGTGTCTCTATGATTTTATGAGTTTAAAACATTGTATTATATGTAGATGCTGTGTTTCATGAGTGATTTGCTGTCTTACATTTTGCTGCATGGCCCTCTGATTTATGGTTTGATTATAAATGTAGGAGATTTTTCTTTTACTGTGCCATTAATTTTGTTTTTCCAATTACTTCTTCTTGTAGACATTCTCCATAAATTAATAATATGTTAGCATATAAATTAATTTCTGTAAATGATGAATGCTGTAAAAACTCTTTCGTACATACTTACGTGTTTTTGACAGTTGAGGATCACAGCTACCAAATGCATAAGCCACTTTAACCAAGTTCTAATTTCATCCTAATTTAAATGGTTTTTTATCAGCAGTAAGCTATACTTCATATGGGCAGGTGGGACTGCAAAACCCATATAATCATAGTTCCTCTTTAACTATCTTAGTTTAATATTTAATAAGGGACTCTATCTTGCACCAGTGTTATGCACATTTTAGTAACCCTTGATAGAAAATATACTGCAGAAAGTTTTATAGCATAAATTTTCTGTTCATAAATGATGCTTACAATATTTCAGGTCTTCTGAATGAATAATTTTAAATGAATAGAAGTGCTCGCTCTTGCTTATTTTACATTCCTATCAGTAGATAAACATGTTAAAACAACCTTCCATTAGGAGTCAGAAAGACACCTCCCTGGCTTTCCAGATAAAACTGGCCAAGTGACTGCAAGAAAGTATGTTTTTTATTTACACGGAAAATCTAATTGTTCTACTTGTTAATGAGCCCTGAGTTATCTGAGTGAAGGAATCAAGAATAACTTTGATGGCATTAAGTCCAGTTGTCAGTGTAAATCCAATTTATGTTATTGGGACATCTATAAAAGAAAAAATCACACATCAACAAAACGTGTTATCTAGAGCAATAATAAAGATTTTTTTTTAATACAAAGGGTTACTCAGAAATTCAAACCAAGCTCCTAAGAAGAATCTTTCAATTAGCATAAAGAAAAGCAGTTTAATTCCAGTACACATGAACCCTAGTCTCTGCACCTAGATGTTGTAATGCCAGGCTGAAAAATATGATGAATATGATGCTTTCACACATCATACCATGAAAGAGGTTGGCCAGCAATGCAGACAGTACCGTCTTCAAAAGTTTTACCTCAAGAATCTGTCTTAGCAAGGACCACAGCAATACCATGTGAAGTATTAACTGTCACTGACATTCCTAGGAATGAATAGCAAATGTTCTTGCAAAAAAACCCACAAACCTAGCAGACCCTGAAGAACTACCTCCATCTTTTGGGCACCTCTCTGATCACAGTGTGTTCTTTTAAGTGGAGCAGACAAAGCTTAAGGCAGTCAAAACCCTCATGCACCCCCTCAAAATCTAACCAATTTAAATCTCAGATAAAGACTGGAGACCCTCTTTTTGCCATTTGGAGAACACCAACTAGAAGTTTAATAATCATAAAAATTTAATCTTTAATTAAAGGTTAATTGGCAGATTCTTATATGAGGCAAAGTATAATAGGGTTTGGAGGGCACACTGATTCAGTTTGTCAGCAACTTGCACTTGGCTTCTGAGGCAATGGAATAATTATCTATAGAGTGTCAAGTGGGCAGCTGCTAGTGATAGAAGAGCCTCTAAATGGTGTGAAGACCTGTGTGACCTGCTCATCCAGGAATGATGAAATAATCAGATTCCATCACTCGCTGTAACATGCTATTACCAGAGCGTTTATTTTAACACTGCTCAAGGCCTTTGGAATTAGGACACAGATAGGGCATGTTCCAGTGCATCCGTGACATGCATATTTACTTGCAAGATGAAGCCTTAAATAATACTATTATTTTGGAGTCCAAGAGTGAGACAAAACTTTATTAAGATTACCCATATTCCCATTTAGACCATATTCATTGCCAAACACAACAGGTTTAGCAAAAGATTTTAGTAGAACTGCTCTACCCACACCAATGCAACAATTCCTGCTGTATCACGCTGTGCTACATCTACAGCATGACCAGTCCACATCAAGGGAAATACTAGAAAAATGCTGTTTGCCTCAGAGAAAAGTATCTGGTTGTTTTCATGATAGTGCAGCTCTTGCTGTCCTTGCTGTGAAGAGGACCGGTGTTCCAACTCAAGGTACTCCATCACACAGGAGGTTCTATTACATGATCATGCTTATCACTCCAGTTGGATTGTACTGTTCTTTAAGCAACTGGACTTTTCAATGGAAAAAGAATGTATCTCAAAAAGGTTTTTCTTTTTGTTAAACAGTTTTTCCATTCCAGCCAGACTTTGCACCAAGTTTGGCAAAATTATTTGTTATTACAGGTCTTTTTTAAAAAAATTTATTAATGAATGTTGTGACAAACCTAAAATATTCAGTTTAGGAAGATGCCCAGAACTTAGCTTAAAACTTACCTTTAAGGTGCCAGGAGTTTCAAATACTGTATTTGATAGTAACCTTCCAGAAATCTGCTTTAATTGTATTACATCTGACTGTCCTTTACGTTTACTCTGATCTTCCACTTTACAGCATTGTACAAAGCAAAAGTTTCTTCAGACTGGCCTACATTAGCATAGCATAGTCTTTGTTGTATTTATCAAGAATAGCTCCTAAGCTATGAAATCATCAAGGAAGAAGATTCACAAGTTCCTGTCAGGGTCTATGAGGCATTAATTCATCACCATTACAGAGAGGAGTGTTGGCAAAAGTATCTAATGATAGCAGAATACAAGTAAACACAAGGAAGCAAAGGGATTTATTTTATAGTAACCCTCAAATTAAGTGCTGATCTAGTCATGGAAAACCCTGTAGTTTAGGTTTTTGGGGTTTTTCTTTCTTGTATCCTCCTACTTCCTGGTGGGACTTAGTGGAGGAGGCTGATTCAGAAAATAGGCAACAGCTTAACTTTTCAAAGTACCATTACAATCTGATAACCAACACAATACAGTAATATCAGCAAGGACATCAGACATGATGAGAATTTTAATGAATTTTAATGTTTCAATAACATGCATTTAGCAAGGACAAAGTCACCTATTTTCTCTCATTCTTATCATTTATTGGAACTGATCCCTGTAATTCAATGAGCGCTACTTTTAACAGTATTTAAGACTGAATTTTGATAAAATATAGAACAAGACCATAACAAGCTCTCCAGAGCTTTGCACTCTGTGTGTTTCAATTCAGATTCATAATTCCCTTGTATATTTTGTCCATGACGTCATTTGAAGTAGCAAAAAGAATCATTTAGGAGCAATGCATTTCCCTGAGATAAAACATCTATGATCTGTTTTAAGAATATGGACAATAGAAAATAGGAAAGTCCTTCATATCTAGTCTGAACTCCAGTGACAATGGCACTATATTTGAAAGCATTTTTCACAAGTTCTTCTAAAATTACTTAAAATATCACACATACTGAGGCATCCACAATATTTCAGTGAACTGCACCATGCACAGTCATTACTCAGTAGCAAAAATATTGTTATGCCATTCAACTGTCACCCAAGGCCTATATCAATGCCTTATACTTTGGTTCAAGGCAGACTATACACCAGTTACCTATTCTTTTCGGGTGACAGAATTTATTTTAATAGCACTTCCTGAGAATGAAATTTCAAGAGGATAAGTAACAGAGTATCTGCCTCAGGTCAGACTTTTGACTGCTCTGACCTCCAAATTGCTTTTCAGAAAATGAGCAACTTTAGACGCCACAGGATGGGTGGTCATGATGCGGAAGAGCTGAAGAACTTCTGGGAAAAGGTCATCCAAGAGCAAACTAAGCAACAAGAGGCTGAAGAGTCTAGGCTAAGCAAAAGTGCCCTGAACAAGTAAGTGGTATTTTTTCTTTTCCACAAGACAGCAAGGCATGTCATCACGTGTTTTAAAATAAGGTAACCTGTTATTGTACTGCTTTATTCATAGCACAGATTGTGTTCTGGATCTTTGGCACTTTTCCTCTCACAGCTGCTTGTCTCATATTACCATGGCTCTTCTGCATGGAAACTCAGACACCCCTCACCCCTAAACCTCTTGAGCATTCTTCAAAGGCCTTGGAGCATAGCCATGAAAAAATAAAGCACTTTGGAATTATGGCTTGTGACAGCCAGAAGATAGAAGGAATTTTACCTGGAACTGGTAGAGCTACACAAATAAACAAAACAGTATTACATTAAAGGGACAACCACCCACCTAATCTGTAGAATAAAAAACCCGTGACACCTTTGTCATGTTTAACAGCCTTTCACATCATATAAACCCAAAGGTAAAAATGACACAATGAGATTTTCCCATTCAATGGAAAATGTTGTGGGCTTTTTGTTGTTTTGAGGGTTTATTGTTTGTTTTAGTTTGGGGAGGGGGGGGAGCTTCACAAAGCAGTATAAAATAACAGGGATTTCCTACAGAGAGAGCTATATAGCTGTATTATGGTACAGATAACTCTGCACAAGTGTGGTGGACTTCAAATATTTGTTTAACTTGTGAAAACTCAGAACTTTGAACTAGGGTCTCCTGCACATTAAGTGAATCCCCTAATTATTAATGGGCAGAAATAGAGGACAAGAAATACCATGTCTCATGTGGTTTTCTTTTGTACTTTCCTCCTGAAGTTAACAAACGTTTGCCTGCATAAACTTTTCTCAAAACTGGGACATTCACATAAACTAATTTGACTTCAGCAAATTGGAAGGTCCTGCTAAAGGGCTGTTTCTTGGAAAAAAATTCTAGGTACTTTGACCCCAGTGCCCAAGAAGAAAATACTGTCATCATTTAGATACTTGGAAATTAAGGTCTGGGCAGGCCTTGTATATCAAAAAAGTCAGATGTAGACAATCTTTCTTCCTGTGTTCTATTCCAGCTAGTCAGTAGTATTCTCAAATCGCAGTTACAAAATTGCTGGAGAAAAAACATATATGATGAAAGTGCTCAGCTTCACTGGAAACATTTATCACCTTAGATCACAAAAGACTACCAGGAGAAGACAGTGCAAATAAAATGCAATTCATGGCTTAGATAATATTTTTGACTTCACAAAGTTTAAAATGTTAAAAGCTCTGCTCTGAAGAGAAGAAATGTCATGAAAGGGCCTTGAATATGTGTTAACTTACATATTCAATATGCCTTAACTGACCCATCACAACTGAGATAGACCCAAGCAAGTTCCTTCAAAGTCCCTTGCCCAGTCAAAGTCCAGAGTGTTCACAAAGTGTTCTAAAATTTGAAAAAAGTGATACTTTCAGGGGGTAATGGACACTATCAATACAAAACATATCCACTACCTCATGTAAGAGGTATTCAGGAAAATGTTGTGGTTTTACATAAAGGCTAGTGCTCAGTTTTTGACACTGAACCTCTCTTTTGAGGCTTATCTATATCCACAAAAGAATATTGAAGACTAAGTATTTTAAAACACAATGTAAAATCAAACTCAGAATCAGATAACACAAGCACCCATGAGAAAGAGCTACTGCTGAGTTATTCTCCAATGAAATCATTGGCTGATGTTCTTTTCACCACACCAAAGGTAATTTAAAACCCCATATATTCTGTGATGCATTTGGCATCACCATATAATATCTAATCTTACAACATTGCTGGGTCAGGTGTTTCGTAACATTTCCTTCTGAAAACAACCCAGCCAACAATATCTTACAGTGGTCCCTAGAGATTTTCTCTTCTGTTTTTACTATGCGAGTGTCTTGGAGCTATGTGGCTCCTCTTGCATGTGACATCAATTCCTTTCATTTAACACCTACAGGGTCTACAGAGTTGTCTTTGTTTTCTTTTGTACCAAAAAGGACATATTTTAAGTTCAGCCTGCCCTTCTCCACAGCATTTTACAGCATAACTTGAGGGGTTGGAGGAAAAACTGTATTTTTTATATTTACACATTGAATGACCTTACTACATAGGCAGTACATCTGTGTGGCTTTGAGAATACCCCAGAGGGAAAAACAGAGTTCTTCACAGTGACAGTATTTCAGCAGTTGTTTGACTCATTTGGAATCCAGCAATGTCAACAACTGATAGTATCAGCACTATCCTTTTCTCCCCTGCATTCCCAATCTAGCAAGCTAGAGGGATGTGTAATTGGTAAATAAATAGAGGACAAGTGCTCTGGTGATGAAAGAGAGGAAAGCTTCGGCCCTGCTGAAAAGCCCTGGATACATTTGAAGGATTTGGCTCAATAACTGCTAAGCATTTGTACTCTCTTTGCAGACTTCGCCAGGAATGGACTCTGCAGCTGGAAGGTCGAGTAAGGCAGGTCCAGGCGCACATGAAAACACGGCAAGAACAAATGACACCACTGTCTATCGAGGCTCTTCCTACACCAGATAAAACTGTTGCTTAAAGTTGCTGTGCAGACACAGCAAGCACTGGGCCTAATTCTGACCTTCTGCATGCATCTAGAAACCAGCAGTTACACTGCTGGCCAACCAAATGATTAGATTCTGCCCTTTTTCCAAATTATTTACTAGAGCTACTATTAAAGTCCTATTGAAATTCAGTGTAAGAATAAGGCCACAGGGGAAAAAAGCACAAAGGAATAGATGAGAAGCAGACAATTCTAATTTTTCCATGATATATTATTTCTGTAATGTATCAGGACTCTCTTATGTAACTGCATTTCCAAGTGACAACAACATACTCCCAGGAAAGAGGGCAGCTTGCTTAATAAGAATAATACATTCAGACAGCTGCATGCAAAATTGCACATTTACATTTACACAGCTCATGGAGTCTGGCTTAATGCAGACATAAAATGTTTTGTCTGTCTTGATGAGCCACAGCAGAGGAGGTTAAGGATTAGCCTGATCAGCTGGCCAGGAGGAGAAACATATTCTTTAATGAGGGGGCAAAAAAACAACTTTCCTGATCAACATTTAAGAACATTTACAGATCTTAATAATTGAATAAACAGAAAAAAATTGCTTTTACTTTCTTGGGGTATGCAAAAAAAAGACTACTGAGCCAGTAGTCTTTATTGTAGGCCAGTCTGACAAATGTTAGAGTAGTAAGAGCAAGTCAGTGAGAGAGTTTGAAATAGAAGGCAATGAATCATAACAGCACGGAAATGCTTTGCAAAGTGTCAGTTGTCATACCTGACATGCACTAATCCAAACAACTCCTGCATCTTCTTCTGGGCTAGATGAAACAAAGGTAGGAATAACAAAACACAGGGTAATAACAATGTGCCCTATTTACCTGTATGTCTGTGTGTCTGAATACTAGCCTTCTGGATTAAAATATTTGTTTGTTTTCTCTTCAAATAAACTTTGGAAAACAAGAGTGGACTCATAAGTCTAAACAGCTATTTTTGTCTAACATTATTGTGCCAGACAAAAATTTACTTTGAATCTATATTTATACTAAAGTAGTAGATAGGAATTCAAAACAGAACAAAAATTAAATCATCTTGACCTCACAGAAATGCTTTTAAAATCCTTTTAAAACAATATTTAATTAAACACAAAGTTTTACTGATGTTCTCACTCTTACAAAGTGAAATTCTGCCACAGAAAAAAAAAAAAAGCTGTCACAAAAATGTTGTTATTCCATGACAGATTAAAAGAATAAAAAACTTACAAAATGTTGTTCTGTTTTTGAAAAATGAAGGGATTTTAGTATCAGTTTCTTTTCATAAAAATGAACCCAAAAAGTAGGTAATTGTTTCTTTCAGTGGCTATTTTCCATTAGAAAAACAATGCTGAAAAAATAATAAAGTTGTAACTGCTTTTGCCCTGCAAGACTGGTGTTTCCCTTCTGCATCCACTTATTTCCTATTATTCTCTAAAAAGTTCTTTCTGTAACCCAGTATCCTCGTTTGGGCCAGGACTGAGTTAAGTTTTAACAGTAGCTGTGAGGGATTGGAACCTAGAGCTCCATGGCCATGTCTGGATGTTATTCTATAGCACCTTTTGCCATCTCTGGGAGTAGGAAGTCCAGGATGCTTTTGGAAGAAGGTGGGAGTGGCTTGGGTTGGGGGAACAGTCTGGATGGGTAACTCATCGGCCACTGTTCATTGCCTTGGGGTAGGGCACATCAGTCAGTAATTTTTGCCTGTACATCACCCTCTCTTTGAGTATTTTTCTTATTACTATTGTTTTCCCATCTCATTACTGCTTCCAGTAAGTTGTTCTTATCTCAAGATATAATCTCTTCCTTTCATCTGCCGCCAGAGGTTTGTGCTTTTCTGTTTAGTGGGAGTACTAAGTTGAGGAATGTCATTCCCAAAATATGACACCTAAGCTAAACTTCTTTGGTGAGGTAGATCAAACAAAACCTGAATTAGGTGCCACTTACCAAAAAACTGGACTGGTCTACCTTTCTGTAGCCATCATTAAAAGAAACAGACGTGGGCTATTGAAATGGAGAAATGCCAGATTCTCCACTTTTGAAAACCAGATCTGTTCAATTTGTTAGGTTAACCAGTGATTTATGGTATTGAAATGCCACACACATCAGCGCAGCTTATCCCTATTCCATGTCAATGTGACAGGAGAAGATCCAAGAAAAGCTGGCTCAATAAGTATTCATTGTTCTTTTACACTTAATGTCAATGGTTTTCTTTATTAGGAACACTTTTATGATGCTCTTTCTGGTTGTTTTATGAAGTTATGTAAGATATGAAAAGGACAACACAAGTAAATGTAATTCACACAAAGGAAATTTCAGCATTCCCCCAAAAACAACCTTAGCTCTCTGAGTAGTTTTTCTATAAGGAGCTCTGAGGGCATCCAGGGATATGTGAAATGACTTCCACTACAAGCAGTTGGTATCATATTAGCTACACACCAATGAAATGTTGCGGGCATTGTTCACCTTCACAAGTGCATGGAACCTATTTCAGTTGTGATGCAACAAATAGTGTACATACCACAAGCGTGAAAAACCAAAATGCTCGCATGCTTAACAAAAAACATCTCTTTTTGCATTGCTCAAGTGCACATGAATTAGTCATGGTTCTATTCTAAAATGTGTGTTCTAGCACACATTTTACATGACAGCAGTAACCTAACAACTCTGTGGTATTGACCATCAGGTGTTCCTGTTCCCAAATGCAGGTGTTCATCCAATTTTCACTGCTACTTGCACATACAACCAGACTGAGACAGGTATCAGGTACCAGAAATAATAAAGTCTAGCAGCTGGATGTAGTCAGATATGCTGCTTACAAATTGCAAATCTGAAGGGCAGACAGGAAGGTGGCAGATAATGTTTCGCCATTTTGCTTTATTCACTGAATTGGTGACATTCAAACCTGAACTTAGACATTTCATACATAACTGAAAATATTAAACCTGGCTGTCAATAAAAAACAAACCAACAAAAGTCAGTTCAAGCTGAATTTTTATATTTTAAAAAACTGTCTCATTCATGTATGTGGAAGCCATTTATAAAATAGGATATTCAGTGAGCATAATCTGTTGGGAGAGTAAGCCACTTCAGCTGAATACAGCTGAATTTTTTTAACTCCCATGTTCCTAGTTCCTCCATCTATCCAACAGGAAAAAAAAAAATTAGATTACAGTACCCATATTAAGAAAGTTGGGCTACTTATTTGAGAAACTAATTGCCCATATTTTTTTCCTTAAGGTTTATTAATTTGTCTAATAGAAAATAAACTGAATGCATATTGAATATAATGAGATTAATTGAATAATAATCTGCATAATCAGCACCACCCTGACCCTGCACTAGCAAGAAATTACCATGCCTCACATCAGCACATAACCAGCCCTGGCACTTGCTTAAGTCAGTAAACAACTAATTTTGCACAGGATAGGTCAGTGGCTAGTATTTTGGTTGTGGGAGTTTATGATATATGATGCAATAGGTGTGGATCATTCACTTAAGCTGGCATACTGATGTCAGCTGAGGAGCACCCACTTAGCATGCCCAGATTTATGTGCATGACAGACACAGTGTGCACAATCTATATCCATTCACATTGTTGGTCTTTAAGCACTGTCTGATCCAGGAACCAGTAACTAATGTCTGAGAAACAGCAGTTTGCTTTCTTAAAGTTACTCTGAGCTGTGGCCAGTGGTTGAAGCCTGGCTTACTTAAATCAAGGCAGTCTAAAGGGTGACTGTAAACACCACATTAACCTGCAGTCTGACTTCATTTGGACACCATGGTAAAGCACTCACACAATCAGTTATAGGGAGTGAGGATGCAACAACTCAACACCTGTCAGCTGCTCTGCTTGAATGTGCACTTAAATTCAGAGTAGGAGAGACATTTTTTAAGCTAAACCCTTGACTGTCTGCATGTACCACATACTGGTTTGGAGTCAATTTAGTGTATACAAACCAGATTTCTTTCTGAAGAACCAAAACCAGACCAGAAACTGTGTTCCAAGTGCATATGAAAGAGCCCTAACCTCTAAGGGTCTGAGACAAGCACTAGCTCTTCAGACAGTTTTGAGACACCGCATAAAGGGGATATTTGGTCCAACAAACCAAATTAAATTGAGTCTGATGTAGCCCTTGGACCATGCATAGTCTAAGGTGGGGACATCAGCAGTAGTCACTTTGATCTACTGAGCTGCTTGGTAATGTGCTCATCCACCCTTTAATGTAGATGAGTATAACCCAACCAAAAAAATATAAGTGGGATCAAAGCACAATAACACATTTCATATAATCTAAAGGTGGACTTCAGCTGAGCTCAGGAGTGATAATTTAATTAGCCATGTAGATAAGCTAGCGTGCACAACTAAGCACAGTTTAGTCAACTCACCCACTGGAGCTGCATGTAATGGAACAGAGCCTCCCTACACAAAACTCAGAATAGATCTGGCTTCTGATGCCACTAAACAGAATGTATGGCTCACTTCTACAGTTAAATTATAGGAATACAAGGACAATTACCAACTTTGTAGACCAAATATTCCTACTAATTATAAATTGCCTGTGTCCTAAGGGATGTTGTTCTCTACCCTCCTAATAAACAGCACTTAACTGCATCATAGTGTGAATAAGGAATACTAAATCATATAAAATACTTCTGGACTGAAAAATACATTGGTAGATAAGTAAGAATATACCACAGAGTAGCTCTAGAAACTCTTATACATCCTGAGAATGCTTCCATTCATTAATTAAGCATTACTATATTACTATATTATTTATTTCTTACCAATAACAGGATCTATCCATGTTACACATTTAAGACAAAATTGAATAAAAAAATTCAATAGGCAGGACAGACAATTCAAAACCCTACTTATTATTCCCAACTCTTTCAGCTGTCTGTATTCATCTGTGTGTTATTTAGGAGCCAGTGTTTTAAACATATTTCAAGCTAAAATGGACAGAAAGCAGGGCAAATTCAAGCTCCAAAAATGACAGTTTGACAAACAGATTGAAAGAGGATTATACTACCATGGAAGCCAAACTTAACAGTGGATCATCATGTGCTACCTTCATAATTAGCTGTACTAATCTCAAACACCATCCCTTAAATGGTGCTAATATCCTACTAACATTTAATGGAAGGTGAGAGACTGTTAGTAGGCAGCACCAATGTTCAGACTCAATGGTATAACTTCAGTGGTTCATAATCAGGGTCACTGTTTTTTTCAATACCAAGCAGCAGCAGCATCAAGGAGAGCTAC